AAACAGACTAACGCAGCAGGTAATAGTGAGGCCACGGACTAAAAGGAACTCTACTACCTTTCTGGTAAAAGGAAACAGACACTATGTGGCTACAGCCAAAAACAAAAAAGATGCATACAGTCCTAGTGAGTAATTGTATTCCTAGGAATAGACCATCAAGGAGCAGCAAGCAGACTGTTTTCATCATCACACTTACTTTTCATTATGACCCACCCAGTATACTTATACTTATTTTACTGAAAGTTCACAAAATACTCTTTATCTTTACTACACATGACATATTCTTAGAGTTTCCACTCTGTTCTTTTTCCCTTCTTGAATGTTGCTATGACTCACTCTCTTGCTTTTACAACACTAATAGATCAACATACCCAGGTTGAGAAACCACCTGAGATGATGTTCTCATATGCATCTTCTCGTATAGACACAACAAAATTCACTGTGGTACTCTTTGTCAAAAAAAATTAATGATGAATTAAAACCTGAGGACATTTTAAAGTGGAGAGGCATGCTGAGGAGTGTTTGTGGGGAATAGTATAGGGGTGTTATGGGTGTGCAAGACAAAGATGTGTTGTATGCATATATGAAATTGTCGAAGAATAAATAAAAGGTATTAATTTAAAATGGGAGGCATATTCACACAATGGACTATGATATAACAGTTCAAATGAAAGAACTATGGATATAAACACAAATGTTACCAGCTTAAAACTAGAAAAACCAGGTGTTGTAGTACTGACTATAAACCCAGCACTTAGGAGGCTGCACACAATTATGAATTCAAGGCCAGCATAGAAAATATAGTGAGACGATGTCTTACAAAAAAATTAATAAAAAAGCAAAAAATAGCAAAACAAGCAAATTTCACATGGATATATATAGAGTATATCACTTGAGATCACTTGTTACACATGCAAAATAAGATACTGTTTAGAGATATATTTATGTATAGTAAATATATAAAGTATGGCCAGGCATGATAGCACATGACTCCCAGCCCTAGGGAGGCAGAGGCAGATGGATCTCTATGGTTCTGAGGCCATAGTAAGTTCCAAGATGGGCTATGTAGAGAGCCTGTCTAAAAAAAATATATATATATATATATATATATATATATATATATGTGTGTGTGTGTGTGTGTGTGTGTTATGTATCACACATAATAGATATTACATATATACATATATATATAGAGAGAGAGAGAGAGAGAGAGAGAGAATGAAGACATAAGAAAGAATGAGATCAAAAGAGAAAAGAAAGCAATATGAAGAGCCAAGTGAGTGTCTACATACTAAAGTATTAAAACTGCCATCTTTAGTGTGTTGCCTTCTAGAGCAGCAGCTTCCCTCCAGACAGACAAAGAAAGAAAACCAGAGACAGACACAGCCCAACTGAGCTCAATCATAAGAACGCACACCACTCATCTTTTAAAATTACCCTCTTTAGTAATCAAGTACTTAAACTGAGGATATCTATATTTAACTAAGTAACGAAATTCAGAACATGCACCAAAAAATGCAACAGGTAGTTGTGGGTGGATGAGATGTCACAGCAGATGCCCCAAACACAGCCATGTGCCAGTGGGGTTGAGTCACTGTGATATGCCGAAAAGGAATATTAAGGCTCAGCTGCCACAGGTTGCAGTGAGCTGCTCTGCCTTCCCCTGTTACACTTGCCAGGCATCATTACAGAGTGCTGATCAGACACTCAGACATCATCAGCATTACAAAGCTCACTAAAAATGACAAAGTACAGCATCCTGCAAATAGCACAAGCCTGTGAGCAAGTTACCACACAGCAGAGAATTAAAAAAAACCTTTAGAACGCTCATGGGATGATTCCCAGTAATTGGGAGTGGCCCCTTTGGGTCTCCTTATATCTTCTATCTAAAAGAATAAATCCAGAGCTGGTGAGATGGCTCAGTGGTTAGGAAGATTTGCTGCTCTTGCAGAGAACCCAGGATTGGTTCCCAGCACCACCATATCGTGGTTCCAGTTTCACAGATCCGATACCCTCTTCTGACCTCTACAGGCAAGCACATGGGCTCATACATACATTCAGGCAAAATACTCATACACATAAAATGAAATAAATCTAAAAGATATAAATCTAAAAAGATATAAATAAATGTAAACTTTTTAAGAAATAAATCTAATGCTGTAATATATTTTTTGCTATAATTTCAAAAGTATCAGCTTGCTTGTCATGGAATGTCAACTTTTAGAATGATGTGTAATAGAATTTAAATATGTTAGCAAGACAATAAAAAGCCTTCCAAGCCTCCAGAAATAAACTACTGTGACTCCCAAACTAAGTAACCTCTCTGTGAGACACCTATCCCATCCACCCACTCACTCCACCTCTATTTACCACATTATGTGTGGGAGGCACCATGGCAAACTCACAGAAGCATACAAATAAGTTCAGGAAGACCTCTGTCCTTAAGAGACTGATGACCTAGCATGGAGTACAGAAGTGCACACAGTCGTAAAGGTTACAGAAAGATCCAAGGTCAATAAGGGAAGTCCAGAGAGAGAGAGAGAGAGAGAGAGAGAGAGAGAATAGACAGAATATATCTTGCTTTGATTTGGTTCTTGCCTATCTATCCTGCCTATCAGTCAAATGTGGAAAATGGGTACTTCATCAATAGCATCTCTTCAAAGGTAGCTACTACAATTCCTAACAAGACTGTTCTTATAGCCTCCAAAACATCTCCTCACATGACACTTTCTGTGTACTGGGTTAAATGGCACTTGTCTTCCAAGCCTGACGACCTGAGATCAATCCTCAGGACTCAGGTTGTCCTCTGACTTCCACACATGCATTGTGGTACATGCATGTTCTCATACATAGACAGATGAAAAATAAATAGATACAAAGTAAAAGAGAAACTGTGAGGATACAAGAGCCTAACAAGGATAACTAAGAGAGAACCAAGAATGCAACGTCTTAGGCCACCCATCTCCTGGAGCCCCCCTCTGATACTGTTACTGTACTTCTCAATAAAACCTTGTTTGCTTGCTCTTACACACACACAAAAAAGTGACATTTCTAGTGAGAAAAAAAATAACTAAGGGGATATGTTAAAATGTCACAGAGCCACTTGACAAACCGCCCAAAGACAAAAGGTGAGAACAAATAACAACAGATATTTACTCCCTGGCTTACAAAGAGGGCACACCCCCACTAACACATCAGAAATTGCGACAATCATATATTGAAAATGCATAGAATGTGCCTAAAGTGTCAAGCACAGGTTAGCAGCACTGCAGTGTTGTGGTCTCACCTCCTGGCTGCATGGCTGAATGGTGTGGTGTCTGTTATCCCAGCTACTCAGGAAGCTGAGGCGGGAGGATCACTTAAAAAGACATGAACATCATTTTGGCATGCATCAGATGCACTGACGTGGGCCAACACTACTATGGTGCTCTTAGGGAAGGGGATCTAGTTCTGACTCAAATGTAAGAAAGCATCATATAGAGGGACATATCACAAACCCAGATGGGGGGGAAATATCACAAAGTATGTAGCCAATATTCTTTAAGAATGCCAAGATCGGGGCTGGAGAGATGGCTCATAGGTTAAGAGCACTGACTGCTCTTCCAGAGGACCTGAGTTCAATTCCCAGCAACCACATGGTGGCTCATGACCATCTATAATGAGATCTGGTGCCCTTTTCTGGTGTGCAGGCATACAGGAGGCAGAATGTTATATACATAATAAATAAATAAAATCTTAAAAAAAAAAAAAAGAATGCCAAGGTCATTCATGGCAAAGAAAGACTAAAGACAAGTTAGAGAAACTGAGGACACTTAACAATTAAACAATTAAATACAACTCATATTCTGGATTAATCTTGGTCGATGAAATAGGAAAACAGCCAAACTCAAATAGAACTACAAAATGACTGATAATGATAAAACAATATGAACTTCTGTCCTGCTTTGCTTCTCTGATGCCCTGAGAAAACACTGAACCAAAAACAACTTAAGGGTTTATTGTACCTTACAGACTCTAGTCCATCACTTAGAGAAGCCAGGGCAGGACTGAAGCAGGAACCTAAGATGCATATCTGGAGGAATGCAGACTACTGGCCTGCTTCCCCAGGATACTGCTCAGCTACACTTCTTATACAGCCCAAGCTGACATGCCCAAAGATGGTACTGCTCACCACGAACTGAGCCTTATTCCTCCATCATTTAACAGTCATGAAAATGCCCTACATATACCGACAGGTCAATCTTATGGAGGCAATTCCTCAACTGAGGATCCCTCTTCCAGGTGTGTCAAGTTGAGAACCCAGATTACTACTGCAATTTCCTGGAGTATTTCCATCTTTTCTGTAGATCTAATTATATTTCCAAATGAAATGTGTGGCAGGTTTTTCCACTTATTTTTTTTCTTTTTTTTATTTTGTTTTGTTTGGGTGTTTTGTTTCATATTTTGATACATCCAGGTGTGAGAGTGGACATTTTAACCCCATTGTGAAGAATGACTCATTCTGGCTAACTATTGTCATTTTTGTATTAAGGGAGATTATCAAATGATGTCAGACATGGCATCTTTAAACCCAATGCTTACAGTGTGTGTCAGATTGCAGTAAAGACAAAAGCAAGCCAATGAAGGAGAAACACATGTGTTGAAACCCAAAGAGATAAGCCAGAAAAAATATATGAATGTTCCCAGAGAAATGAATGGCGCATAATGCCCACATGTGAACACACACACTTGTAACACAAGAAGCATGAACTGGGGACTGGCATGTAACTCTGTGGTCAAGTTCTTCTCTAGCATGTGTGAGACACTGAGTTCAACCCTCAGTGTGTGTGTGCGCACACACACACACACACACACACACACACACACAATTTTTTTCTAACTCAACTGCATCAGCCGGTAACGAGATCATGACTTGAAAGCTACCTGTGATGGTCAATTTTCATGAATCCAGTAAGAAAGGTTTACTGTAAAGAAAAAGTTGAGTTACTTCTAGTACATACCCAGACTTCAAGTCCGTTATTCTCAAACAGTTTGTAGCATCCAGTCCGACCTTTCCATTTCGGACCACGCTAGATATGAATGGGGACAGCATTGGAGAAATTCGATTCAAGGCAATTTCTGGAGACATTTTAACTTGATTTATAAGTCACCACTGGAAGTAGAAAGAAAGAAAGGTGATCAGTTTACCAGATACAACATGGAGATAAAGCTGTAACAAGCTTCCTGGAAGCTAGCATGGTGCTCAGAACTTCTCTCATATGAGCAAGTGCTCTGTGACCCAGTAACAGCTCTACCATTAGTCTTCCAGAAGAAACCAGATCCCTGCTACTCAGATATTCAGGGCATGGGCTGTTCAATGCTTTTCAGGAGTGAAAGGAACCCTTGACGTACAATCCCCTCCACTAGCACAGTCCCCTTAAGCTGCACAATTTCATGTGTTGACACAGAGAAGCCTTCCCTAACTGTCCAGTTCCTTAACACACAAAATACACATCATTGAGTTAAGTACTTCTGTGTCCCCGTGAGGACAAAGAGCTTCAATGGTAACAGCATACAAAACTCTAAAGCAAACACAACCAATTGTTACTTACTAGATCATTTACGACTGCCATCCCTTTCTTAATAAGTCCTTCCATGGTGGGTTACATGTTTACGTGAACTCTCCCCAACAAAGACTACAACCTGAAATTCTCACATATAACAAATGCATTTAACATACACTTAGTATTCAATAATATTTAATAATAAATATATTAAGTGGCAAGTTCAAATAATAGTTTTTTTAGCCAAATTTGAAGCAAGCTTTATTAACTACTGGCCAGGACCATGGATACCAACTAAGTCCATATCCAAGACCACACTCAGAATATGGCCTCAAATAATAGATTTAATAAAAATAAATAAATTTTAAAATTACTTTAAATAAATAAGGGAGAAAGGCTGAAAAAATATTTAGGGATAGAGAGAATATAATATCCCCTCAAAAACTGATAGTGTGGGAGGCACCTAAGGAAAGTGTTCAATTAGCAAAACACTTGCTGAGCATGCATGGAGATGCAAGAGTTCAGACCTCCAACAACCACATAAAAAGTCAGGCCCAGTCCAGTGACACACGTGTAACCCCAGCTCTGGGGGTTGCAGCACGGTAGACCCCCAGGGCTCACTGGCCAGCCAGTCTAGCCAAAATGGTGGACTCCAAGGTCAATCAGAGAGTTACAAACCCTAAGGTAGAGAATGAGAGAGGAAGATACTTGACACTACCTCTATCCACCACATGTGCACACTAAGGCAAATGGAGACGCACTGACATATACACTATACACAGAGAGAGAGAGAGAGAGAGAGAGAGAGAGAGAGAGAGAGAGAGAGAGAAGACAGGAGATAGATACAGCAGAACCTGAGAAATAAATGAAGTAAAAAAAATGTACTTAACACTTAAATTATAAAAAACATAGACCTGTCCGGATACTAGCAACAAAAACTAATTGAGTCTTTTCAGTCTTAGATTTTCAGGCACTACAACATCTCTCCCCTTGATGATATAAAAGCAATAAATCACATCAACACTACTTGGATATTCATAGAGCTGGAGGAGAGAGTGCATGAATTCCTAATAGACTTCTAAATGAAAGCTGCTACTTTAGAGGTGAATAAGTCAATTCAAATGATCATTGTCTTTCTCAATCTGAAAGGTTAATCCCACATTGAAAGCTAATTAATTTCCACTCAGTTACAATTATGAGTACCTGCTGTTCTGGTTCTAGTTTCTACACACTATGGCACATAGGGACTTACAAACTCTGCTAAATTGAATACTTGTTTTATCATTTTAGATAGTTATAAAGAAATGACTACAGAGATCTTTCCAAAAAAAATACCATGATGCCACCCAGAAATATTTCTGAAGTGGTTAAGCTGCATACTGTGTACTTTAGTCTCCAAATGAATCTTTTCCAACTCCTTGGAAGTCCTATGGACTTCCTCATACCATTCTAATACACCATCCCAAGGCAAGAGTAAATGTTCCCTCAACTGTACTGTCTAACATAAAAAAAAAAAAAAATACACATTTTAGGGCACTTCAATACTTATCAAGCACTTCTATATGCCGTGCTGCCATTTACAACCTGTATCTTCCAGACGACAGGGGTAAATGCTTTTTGAATAATATACTACCCACACTATCACCTTGAAGACTTTTCTTTCTAAATTCTGCAGCACTTCCACCTGATTCCTACCAATACCGACGTCACAGTTCCTGAAGGGGATGCTTACTTACATCACATGCAAAGCACAGAAGTGGTCATCTGGTAGAAGCAAACAGAAAGACTGCTCATGACGATGACTAATTTTTTTTTCTCACAGTACCCACTATTTTATCTTTCTCTAAGAAAGAGAAACAAAACTAGCACATTCTAAACATCACATATGAGCTCTCTGTTACTCACCTTTCTGTACAGCTATCCACCACCATCACCCCTCCAGGTAGTTTCTTACTGACTATTGTTTCCATTTTATAAATACAAAGTTACTCAATGTCACACACAGAGCCAACATAAGGACTAGAATTCAAATCCAGACCTCTCTCAAAGTCCACTATTGCTAACTTCCTTGGCCACTAAAGAAAGCATCAGGGTGGATTTTTTTAAAGCATACACTTTGTCAAATAGGAAGACATGGTCATGAATTTGTACACTAGAAAGCAGCTAGGCTACTGCTGACCAGTGCCGACGCTAGCCTGAATGATTCACTAGTTAAATGCCAAAAGAAACAAACCTACTCCAGATGCCAAACCACGCTAGTGATTATAACAACCCTTTCCACTTCAGCAAGTGTCAAGACTTTAGGATCATACCCGAGGGAATGGATTTCTGCTTTTATTTCCAGAGCAGCCATATGCAGTTTTTAGACAGTGAAAGGTTTTGTGCAGATTAAATATGTTTCAGTTGTGAAGTATAAATTCTCTAATAAAGAAGGAAAACTATACTGACTCCAAAATGAGGAATTTGAAAAACAAAAAAACAACAAAAAAAAATGATGGACCTTTGGTACAATATGCAGAGATACAGGTTGGAAATACCACACACACACACACACACACACACACACACACACACCCTCTTTTACACATAGCACATTATAACGGATCCCCGAAGGGCAGAAATTTTTGGTGGCCAGTCTTTCATGAATGTTTGCTTTGCAATTTGTATTTCCTGATTTTGACGTATTGCAGAAGGAAAAATGCAAATATATACTTTTATAGAAATCTGCTGCCGCAAGGTAAGGTCACATGAGGTCTTTTGGTGGGCTGGCTATCTGGGGAGTACAAAGACGTAAAAAGCACCGATCCGGCTCTTGCTATTAGGAGGATGACAAACACGGAAACATGTGCCCCGTTGACGTCATGGAACGGAAAGGGGTGGCCGCCTGCTGCATCACGTTCGCGTCATATGGCGCACGAGGGAAGTTACTGTGGGGGAGCCATTTCTCCAACTGGGCAACAGCGGGGAGGGACGGGGAGAGCGAGCCGGTTCAGATCCGAAGAATGGCCACCCATTCTGAGGAAAACCTAAAGAGATCCAACCCTTTCTCCCAAACTGTATGATTCCCCCCATCTAGCGCAAAGGAAGCAGGCTTCTTCAGGGGCCGGGAGTGAGCAAGGCACGTGGGGAGAGAGAGCAGCCCCGGGTCTTGGGGGCTGGTTCTTGAGGGGATCCGCGTGCTGGGAGCGAGCAGGGCATCTTTGGGACGCGGGCCTTCTCTTGAGGAAGAGGCAAGCGCTCTGGCCATACTCAAACATGGCTCTCGGCGCCACCTGTGCGACTGAGATCCAACCTCCCCGCACCAGCCCGGGTCCAGGTACCTGGAACTTAGTCCGATCAGTAACCGGCGA